ATAAGGTAATGGTCTTACAAAGAGGATAAGAAACAGAAAGGGAAATGTGTTTAAGAAATAGAGGAAGATGATCAGAAAGAGAAAAACAGATGTGTTTTTCTCTTTGCTAACACAGAGAATAAGAAGTGTGTTTAGACAGAGAAGAAGAAGTGGGTTTAAATGGTGCAAAGAAATGATCAGGAGCATTCATCATCTTCTTGACATTGACATGTATCTAACTAAGAACCAACGGCTATCTAGGAAAGTTTGTACATTGACATGTATCTAACTAATTCATCACATTTATTACCAAACACACATTAATAAATGAACATGCATTCATCACAATCTCAACCATAATGGAACAGCAACTGAATTAGATAAGTAACTAGATAATCCAACTAGATAAGTAATAAAGAACAAGCTTTTCGAGAGAATCCAACTGAATTAAGCTAACTTTTCTAGAAACAATCTTAACTAGGTCGCTGAAACAAATCATGAGCTTTCAGGCAATACTATGAAACAATCTTAACTACACAAGCACATAAACACCATGAAACAATACTAATGCACCATCAAGAATTCGTAAAACAAGACACAGCCCAACAAATCCTTAAAATGCACTCTAAATTCTCCATCAAAAGTGGCACAAACAGAGCCTTATCCAGAAATTTCAGAGTACCAAAAACCAGAAATTTCAGATTAAACTTCAAAAAAGTCAATGAGAATTACGATTGAAACAAGGTTAAATTTATCACCTTTTGTTCAAGCTCTCAACTTCTTCATCAGTCATTTGACCTCAAAACCACTTTGCTAATAAACAAATACTTTCAGTCCTCCCACTCGATTATCTTCCAACACATCACCATCACTACCTAAACATCAGAACCACAAAACAAAAAAAACCATGAACACACTTATACCAAAACACTCATACCACAAGCAAGGTTTATGGATATGCAGATAAGATAGACTATGTAGCTTAACTACAACAGAACCTCAAAGATAATGCAAAATCAAAGTAAAAGCTCAAAAGCAAGATACCGAATCGGTAATTGAGGCCATCAACAATTTACAAATCAATAGGCCTCCTGATTTTACAAATTTTTCCACAGATGATCCAGAAAACCTAGAGAACATCTAAAAAAAGAAACTCTATTTCTTCATTCGATTAGCAAACTAAGTGATGACAATACAGCTCGATACGGAGAATCCAGAGAAGTAAACTGCTTAATCCAAGTAAAATCAATAATTTCTCTTCTGAAAATAGATAGAACTCACCTGAAATTCGCTCGGTTGGTTGACTCCGACTCAGACGAAAAGCAGAAATCGTCGAGAAGGTGAGATTATAAAGAAGGAAGATCAAAACCCAGCTCGAAAACTTCACTTCCATCTCTCTAGAAGTTTGATTCCTCAGAAAAGCCCAGATTTTCAGAAGAAAACATACATGTATGTGTGTGTATATATATATACGAAGATCGGCTTTCTCCGGTAAGCTAGTTTCAGCCACCGGAAGCGCCGCCGTAGAAGACATCGAGTGGAACTTCTCCGGTCGAATCACAAAACTTCTCCGATCGCAATCTTTCTCAGAGATTTTTTTTTTTAATTCGGTCCAATCGCACACCGCCACGTGGCACTCAAAATATGCTAACTTAAGCGTCGATGCTTCTTTAAATCAGCTAATTTTTATTTAATTAAATGCCAAATATTCTTAAGCATTTGGTTAAACATCTGCGTTGATCATGCTCTTATGAGCCAAATATTCAAAACTCTCACAGTTTATTTAAAAAAAAAACAATTCAATATGAACGTACCTCTTCCTAGAAACATGCTTGCAAAGAAGCTTTAAGGCATCAATCACTTGGCTTCAAATGTCACGCACAAAAGGAAAGAGAAATAAAAACAGCACTAGTGCACTTTACTGAAAGTTAGACTACATGATTTTCAATACAAAAACTACACCAATACACAAAGCTCATCCCATAATAAAACTACACCAGTCACGGCACAACAACATTCAAGTCTCAACGACACAAAACCACACACAATTCACTCGCATATTGGAGAAACGGCGTGGACTTAAAAAAAAAAAACTAACACTACAAGCTTACTTAACTTACCATCTTCTTCTGAATATTCTAAAAACCTCTCAAATCTAATTACACTTGTGTTCAGGACGATGAGTGTACTCAAAGTCTATGTGGACAAAAGCTCGTTCCACCTCACCGAGCTGCTCGAGCTTCTCCTGAAGGGTCTCTCCGATGTTGTGAGCTTCTTGCAGTCTCATGTCCTCTGGCAAAACAATGTCAACTTCCACAAAGTAGTGTGAACCAAAAGTGTAAGCCCTTACTGTATCAATATGCTTGATTTTTTCGTGATGGTTCCATATCAGGAACGTCAGTTTCGCCAAGAAATCTGGCGGTGCAGAGCGTCCAATCAGCGAATGGACGTTCTCTAGTACGGTTCTTGCCCATGTTGCTATGGTGTACAAAGCAATCTGTAACCATAAGAAAAAAAGAAACGTTTCTTGATCATATTATTAGATTCCAAATTTAAGTAACAGAGTTTTAATGAGCAGTTGAAAGAATTGAGTGAATACTTACAAGTATAGCACCAGAGGGATCAATCCACCAGTAGAATTTGACGGCCAATACAGCTGTTGCTAAGCCGATTGAATTGGTTACAACGTCAAAGAGATGATCCTGAGCATAGGCCCTAACGATTTCGTTCTGAAATCCTCTGCAATAAAGCATGAGTAGAAACTTGACGATAGTGACTGAGACCATGATCCCGATCATCCATTTCTCCTCGGTGCTATTCATATGAATACCATTCTGTAACAAAAAAATGGAGAAATTCGATAAATACATCAAATAACCGATGAAATTAGTTACCGGAAAAACATTTGATGTACCTTGGAAACTAGTTGCCTTCCTGACTCAAGCAAAACTTGCAGTCCAAGAGTCGCCATCACAGAAGCAAACACAATGATGCCCTGTAAATTTGAAGTGTTAAAACTTCGGTTTCATAAGGTTTGGCTTAAAGTATGCAAATTTCTTGTGAGACAAGTAATTTCGTAGGGGAAAAATGGTTCATTGGTCAGAACACAAAAAACATTAGCTTATAGACAGAACATACCACAGGTTGCATCCGTCGTTTGCCTATCGGGTAGTGAAATTGGTTTGGTTTACTCATGGCATTAGCTGTAAACCAAAGAATAAAACCAGACAAGAGATCCAAGAGAGAGTCCAAAGTTGAAGCAATCACAGCCATGGATCTACTCTCCAGAGATGCATAAACTTTAGCCACAAAAAGCACCAAATTGGCTGCGTTGGAGATGTGAACTGCTAGTCTCTCGCTCTTTGCAAGCTTCTTCATTTCTTCCTGTTCAAATTAACAAGCTTGATCAGGATTCATACAAAAGGAAGGATGAAATCTCAAAGAAAGACTAACTAAAAGTAAAGAAGAGGTAGCTAGACCTCGGTTGGAGCTCCAGATGCAAAACCAGATTCATGGATAGTCTCCATCTCATTGAAACCTTCGAGGAGTCTCTCTTGCTTCTTGTAGTATTCAGAGACTTTACGTTCCTTTCCTACAATGGATTAAAGCCCTTTTAAAGATTTAACAATTGATGTGTTTTAACAATCTCTAAATCATTCTACAATGCTTAAAAACCACTGTAGAGAATCTGATTCAGCCAGAATCCACATAGCTTTAGAACAAAGAATCCGGCATATACAAAAAAAAAAACTCCAAAAGAGAAGCTTTAAGATTCCATCAAAAAGCTTTATAACTTTTGAATCAACAGAAGAAAAAAAGCGCTAAATATTCTCTTGAATCAATCAATAGAAAGAAAAAAAAGGGTTTTAACAGAAAAATCATACACAATAAGAACTCCAGATTTTTCCAGAATACTAAAATTATACTTTCGAGTAGTTTCGTTCAATTTCAGGATTTGTTTTCCAAACACTTTTAGTATAAACCAAAAACTAAACATTTGCATAATCACTTTTTTCCTTGTTCATACAAAGCGATTAAGTTCCAATCACAAACTCATGACCGATGATCCCTGTATACACAACAAAACGGATTGAGCGGAAACAGAGGGAATCTTACTGGGAGTACGGAAATAGCGAGAGAAGCGAGTACGAGCGTCGTGACGGGACGGCGAAGAAGAAGAAGGGAGACGAAAAGTGTCGAGGCTGAGTCGCCAAGACGATTGAAGAGGCGGCGCATCGTCGTCGCTAGGTAAAAGCTCGACATTGTACGCATCTGACATACGGACTGTATGATCCGTCGCCATTAAACCCAATCGATCACTTTCTCTGTTCGAATTTCAAAAAACGGATTTTCTCGGGAAGTTGTGAGAGAGAGAAGACGAAAAATCTGTTTGCTTGTATGAGGGAATATAGGAGTTTTAAGCATACGAGTCTCGCACACAACTCTCTCTATACATAAACAAACAAAATAAAATGTCAAATGCAAATATACATTTTTTTTTTTTTTTAATGTAAGTTTCATGTAAAATTTTTTTCACAAATATAATCAAACCCTTTAGTCAATAGTCATACACTAGTATTTACAAACATACTCTAATCAGACTTTTTTTTTGTTGAATTAGTAAAATAAGTTAAGCTTTTAATCGCCATAGTGAGGAATTCGTAATATACGTATATAGCATTGTATGATATTTTGCAATTTACATTATATTTTCTGTTTTAAAAAATTGTGTTTATAATATTTGAATACTGAATCTCAAAAAATAATAATGCTTTATGTTGTTGAAGTTGACGAAGTAGGTGGTCATAGTGATGCAAAAGGCGTGGTCCAACGAAACGGATCGTTTTAAACAACAACAAGGAGTCCCAAATTCTTATACTTACATAATAATAATACACAACTTTTGCTTCCTCTAAAAAGAATAGAAAAGAAAATCAAAAGGTTTTTTAGACGGCCACGTAAAATAGACTTAAGAGGTTTTTTAGTGTCGATAGAGTATATTATTATAATGAAAAAGCAATTAATAAATTGTGCAAATTTGTTGAGATCAAAGTGGTTTTCCACGATTGCAATAAAGCACTTGTCCCTTATACCTTTGTTAACTCGAACTTTTCCTCTTTATGCCCAACATTTTCTCCGAGTGGGTTCTTATGTAACATGGTGTTATTAACAAAGGCCATTAAATCTTTTTCTTTTCTCATATACTATATTATTCTCAGATAATTTTGCCTTTTCGTGGAAGCTATGTCACTATTTCACCACAATGATTAATCCGAGAAAGTTAACCAATAAACTCGCTTACCTAATTATCGTTAAAACTAAGATCGACTATTGATCATCTCATCTAAAGAATTATTGAAGCTTAACCAAAAAACATATAACCCAAATATTCCAAACTTGGAGACCAATCTTTGAGCTTACGTACAAGAAAAGGTACTCTTTCTCTCAACGGGGATTCGAACTCGTGAATGAGATGCCCGCAAAAAAAAAAGAATTTGATCGTATGGTTTCAAAACCAAGAAGAGATACCATGAAACTCAGACGCAAAACCGGAAGGCTCATCGTTCGAACCCCAACAACCACAAATAAAAGAAGAAGCTATGTACCTAATGAATTGACCAAGAAAAAGTCTTTGGCTACTGCAAGAACAGGGCGTGGTTTAGCGGCAGCCTGCAACTAACGTCATGTGCTCTATCAGGTCAAGGACTCGGTTGCTGTAAAACCCGCAAATATTTTAGTCGTCAGGTATTGGCAAATGGCAAATGGCAAATCGATATCGATGGTAAATGAATGAGAGAGACTGACTGTTTTACCTGTAACCCCATCCGTTGTCATACCAGGAGACAAATTTCATGAAGGACTTGCTTAATCCAATCCCAGCATTGGCATCGAAGATACTTGACCTGAAATTTTTGACAATGACCGCCACATTTGAGGACCAAAACTAGATTTTGAAATTCATGATCCGTTACAAGATTTAAGTGTGAGATAGAGATACCTTGAATCTCCAACAAAATCGTTAGAGACTACATCTTCTTCTGTATACCCAAGAATGCCCCTAAGCGGTCCTTCTGAGGCAAACCTATTAACATATTTACATCAAAATCGTGAAAGGTTACTACAAGTTCCATTTTAAGTTCATGTAACGATAACTGGTGATGGAAATTAGTTGAACATAAGAGTTTTGGGTGTAATACTTTATGGCTGCCTTAACGTCTTCGTAAGATGCATCCCTCTCAAGTCGACAAGTCAAATCCACAACAGAAACATTTGCTGTTGGGACACGGAAAGCCATTCCCGTAAGTCTTCCATTGAGTTCTGGAAGAACCTTACCAACAGCCTATTAATAAATCACGCCTCAAATATGATTCCAGATGTTATATGCATATGAAATCAACCATATGTTTATTTTTACCTTTGCAGCGCCGGTTGAGCTAGGAATGATGTTTTGACTGGCACCTCGGCCTCCTCTCCAGTCCTTCCTTGATGGGCCATCCACAGTTTTCTGAGTAGCTGAATATGGAAAGAAGATATGAACAAAACAAATAATTTAATCTCATCAGGTTAATGATATACCTTGACTTATAACAAGAGGGTAAAGGATCAAAGACCTGTGGTTGCGTGGACTGTTGTCATCAAGCCTTCAAGAATACCAAATTCCTCATGTACTACCTGCCAAATACAAGTGCTTAGGGGCCAGAGACAATTTATTTGACCTTAATGAATCTCTTCACAACAAGTGATATACAGGAGAAAAACAATATGCAATGTTACAAACCTTGGCAAGAGGTGCAAGACAATTGGTGGTACAGCTTGCGTTAGACACAATATCCATGTTTGGTTTGTATGTTTTCTCATTTACTCCAACAACAAACATGGGTGCGTCCGCTGAAGGGGCAGAAATTATGACTTTCTTGGCGCCACCCTGCACAGACAATGAAGGTTCAAGCAAACCATAGGACATTATAGCAGAGGAATGTTTGAATTAATACAAGGCCTGATATTAAATGTTAGCATCAATGACACAATTCAATCAAAATGCACACCTTCAAATGTGATGAAGCTTTTGCAACAGTGGTAAATACTCCCGAGGACTCAACAACATACTCAGCTCCAAGATCAGCCCACGGGATTTCAGCTGGGCCTCTGAGGAAGAACCAATAAGATGTCAGGATCAAAAAAAAATAAGCTTATCACCTTATCAATAGAAAAAACATGACAATTAATTCATAATTTGTCCATGTCTAGAGAGACATATATGAGTCAACATTTTGAGACATTACATCTTGCTGACAACTTTGACCTGTTTTCCATTGATCTCCAAAGTGGAATCATCAACTACATTGATGGTTCCTTTGTAATTTCCATGAGTAGAATCATACTTGAACATGTAAGCCTGCATAAGAGGGGATCGAAGATTTGCAGTAAGTTTGATATACAAGTATTCATGCCTCCTAATACGATTTCCTTATTCCATACTGGGTTCAAGCAAACAAAAAAGTAACCAAGAGTAAGATACACCAAATGAGTTAGCAACAGTTATAAGTATTCCAGGAGCGAAATGGCATTGTAAGTTTCATCTACTGCTAGATAAGAAACTAATTATCCTTACCATGTACTTAGCGTCTATAAATGGGTCGTTGACTGCTACAACCTCAATATCATCTCTGTAAGTTGCGATGCGTAGGACCAACCTTCCAATTCGACCAAAACCTGTAGTAAAGACTCAACCATCTGTAAGAAATGAAAAAGGCTGGGGACTAAAAGCATATCAGAAGAAATGCAGTCATATACTACCGGATTATGTGGGGGTTTCAAATGAATTCAACAATGGATAAATAGAACATACCATTGATGCCGACCTTGGTCTTTCCACTGCTCCTTGAACCTATATAAGTCAATCAAATTCAGTGGTAAGAATGAAGCCTCGTATACATCTAAGCATTTCAAGTTTCTTTGTTTCTTACTGTGAACATGATAGCTTTGATGCTTG